CCTAGTACTCCTACATTGCCTAGCGTTATGTCTGCCCAAGCAGTTATAACATAGGCGAGATTCCGCCATAACTTTCTACTTCTTCTGTTGATTTAACTTCCTGAAGAGAGGGCAAAAGGCAATGTAGTGCTTCTGACCACAATAGCTGCAGGTGTTTGAGAGGTCTGTTATGAATGGCATTGGATGTTCTTTAACTGACCTTTTATCCAATGCCGAGTGAGATGATCGTGTAGGCGTAGTGGCCTCAGCCTTTACGTTCAAGGCCCTTGCATAGGACCTTGTAGGGGGAGATTTAGGCCGTTGAGATGTCTTCCTGAATCCCTTATAAGACCTACGAGTCTCGATATGTTCCAGTGCTCTAGCCGTGCTAGTGAGATGACTCATTAGTTTATCTAGAGGTGGGAATTAGCTTGATGTTCCTAGCCTGGTTCCCCAGTCTTCGCGAGTCTTGTCGTGCAGTGCTAATCCCTCCTGATGAACGATAATGTGATCCCATTGGTCAGTCAGGCATCCTAATGTTGCTAGAGCACTGAGAGATGACGTCACTATATTGATTAATTTGATGAGGGATCCAGATGACCTTTTCTTGTTGCGAGGAAGGGCCATCAGCCTATCGAGATGAGCCAGGATTAATAGGCGTTTGTTGTCGAATCTGTCTGACAATCTATTCCATGCTATAGTAAAAGAATCGGCAGATAGTTTCAGGTTTGCCACCACCTTGGCTGCCTCTCCCTCTAGGCTGGTCCTTAAGTAATGCATTTTCTTAACCTGTGAGAGGTCCGGATTGTCTTTGACCATGGAGGACAATAATTCCTCGAAAGGTCTCCATTCTGAGAAGGCCCCGGAGAACTTGGGCAACGAGATATTCGGCAGTACCGACCGCGGACGAAATTGCGGCTGAGGCATTGCTTGCGATGCCTGCCGAGAGAGCTCTTCTATGCGTTGATTTAGCAGCGTAATTCCGGCTAAATATATTTGCATAGTAGCGTCATAGCGATTGTTCTTAAAATACGGCTGCTCCATTACTGTTTCACGAGACGATGACACTATTCKGTCATGTTCAGCATCGAATTTTGTCCAAGTCGTTCGGAGTAGTTCTCTAGTCTCCACCGCRGTGGAGAGGTCCATAGTAAGAACGTCTTTTGCATTGGCTGTCAGGCTCGCGATCGTGCCAGCTCGCGCCTCCTGCAGTGTTAGTCTCGTAGCCATGTTGTGATAGGATATGATGCGCGGTTGCTTGTCAAGACGATAATGTAGTAGTAAGGCCGCCCCTACTACTTCCCGAGATGATAAGGCGCACGCTACACTCTCCGTGAGTGGGGAGATGACGATAATTCGAGAGTGCCAGATTCCCGCGCCACCTAGATTTTTCCTAGTGAACTAGGGACGCCAGAACCAAACGAGCACTCGACGCAGCACTATCACCCTCGGCTTTGAGAAGCCTATTATATAACGATATGTCTGAATTATGGGATGCGATACACACCRAAGTTCAAATTGCGCTCACGGTCCCTTGAACTGATTTTCCTGTCGCAGCAAAACGTCCAGGGTGCTCAGCAATGCGAACGGGGTTTACACGACACTTTTCACAAACTTTAAATCTTGTTACACTTACACAAAATAACTCTAGAATCCGGCTCGAAGGACCAAAAAATGTTCGAGGATAGAAAGAAATTGATAGATTTGAATAGGATGCTCTAAGAAAAGACAAGGAGATGGGCGAGATAGGCTAGTGGACTTTATAGATTAAGAATTTACTGGTAGAATTATGTGTAACAAGATTTAATTAACAAATTTTAACAGAAAGAAATAGAGATGGCGAAAGTATAATAGATTTTATACAAGCAGTAATAGATAAGCGACGCYACGTGTACCGGATATCACGCCACGTGTACCGGAAATACGTAGCACGAGAGAGCTAGTGAGAGAGAGTAAAAGGAGATGGACAAGATGAGGAAAAGCGTGATAAGAGATGAGATGGAACGGTGAGAGAAAGAATAAGGAGATGGTCTAGTTGAGGAAAAAACGAGTTAAGAGACTATGAGATGATCCACAAATTTTTAGAGATTATTAAAGATACGTCCGCACTGTTTCCCTTCGTAAGAGATTGTGTGGGACCACGCCACTTTTCGGTTCGATTAGAGGAACAGAGCGGAAGTGGAAAAAAGAAAATAGACCAATGAGCGAGTTCCACGCTAGGAAGAGATGACAAACAATCAATAGGAAAGTAACACGCAGAGGATGACGTCACAGGGGACCAATGACCTATTGACACGTTAAGT